AAGTTATTTTGAAATGTATTTTGAGATATTTTTGTCCATACAAAGAAAGTCAGTGGGGTCCAATGTTGTTTCAAACAGTTCTTCAAAATATCTTCTGTTGTGTTCCACAGAGGAAATAAGGTACAGGTTTGGAACCTCACTGAACATTGCTAGATTTATCAGCATCATTTATTCCTTACACAATCACATAAATATGCATTTGAGATTAACATCAAAGTTGTAGACATATTGTGCTGTTCTGATGATGTAACATGTGGCGTCTGCAGGACAGTTTGAGGTGGGATGTAAAACCACAGATCATTATCATGGAGGCATGAGAGCCAACTACACCGTGGAGAAGTGCCGCTTCTGGAACCGTCAGTCTGAGACGATGCTACACCAGAAGAAGTATTACATCGCTGCAGTTGAGATGGACTGGGACTATTCACCCACCCGCACATGGGAGGAACAGATGCACCATGGTCTGAAAGACAGGTATTCCAGGTCCTTCACCAGAACTCATGAATCCCATTTGCAAAAATACATGAAGAACACCAGTGGTGTTCATTGACACCAAATGTGGTTATGTGCCAAGCATCAACATGCAGATGTGAATGAGATTTTAGATTTATGGTGAAGGGTAAGATTGTCAGCGAAAACTGCATCAGTGACACCAAGCCCCATTGGTTCTTGAGTGAGTTGTGACATACTGTGACCAGATAAGTTTTAAAGGGATAGTTCACCCAAAAATTAGAATTCTGTCATTAATTACTCACCCTCATGTCGTTCCAAACCCGTAAGACCTTCGTTCACCTTCGGAACACAAATTAAGATATTTTTGATGAAATCCGAGAGCTTTCTGACCCTCCATAGACAGCAACGCAACTGATACGTTCAACGCCAAAAAGGTAGTACGGACATCGTTAAAATGTGATATCAGTGGTTCAAACTTAATTTTATGAAGCTATGTGTGTCTTGTGAATGCGCGTCGAAGACGGGCATGGAAGAGAAGAAACTGTTGAATAAAGTTGTTATTTTTGTTTTCTTTGCTCAGAAAAAGTATTCTCTTAGCTTTGTAAAATTACAGTTGGACCACTGATGTCACATGGACTATTTTAACGATGTCCTTATTACCTTTTGGGGCATTGAACGTGTCAGTTGCGTTGCTGTCTATGGAGGGTCAGAAAGCTCTTGGATTTCATCAAAAATATCTTAATTAGTGTTCCGAAGGTGAACGAAGGTCTTACGGGTTTAGAACGACATGAGGGTGAGTAATTAATGACAGAATTTTCATTCATTTTGTGTGTGTGTGTGTGTGTGTGTGTGTGTTTTTACAGTGTCAGTACAGAAAATGCAAGTTCTAAATCAATCTATTTATCTAAATCTATTTATTTTGATATATTCAGTCCAGGAAACGAGTTCCTAAAAAAAGAAGGCAAATTCATTGGTTCAAAATATAAAAAGGTGCTGTACAGAGAGTACACTGATGACACCTTTACCAAACCCAAGGAAAGATCTGCTGATATGGAACACTTGGGAATTATGGGTACATATTTATAGAATATGCTGTACATTGAAGGTTGGCTCATACTTTGGTGTAAATGTTTGTAAACCTTCAAAATATGCTCATCTCAGGACCCATGATCCATGGTAAAGTGGGAGAAAAAGTGAAGATTGTGTTTAAGAACATGGCTAAGAGACCGTACTCCATACACGCGCATGGAGTTAAAACTGACAGTCCTCAGGTGGCCCTGACACGTCCAGGTAAGATCTGACAATTGTATTCTAGACAAATGGAGGTTCATATTGTTTATTACGTCTAAATGTATGTATTGCTTACTCAAGGCCAAACTCAGACCTATACCTGGTACCTCCCAAAGAATTCTGGGCCGACAGAAGAGCAGGAGGAATGCAGCGTTGGAGCGTATTACTCAACCGTAGATGTTATCAAGGTACTGACACAAGATCATAAGACCTTGTTCAGAACCAGTTTGGATCTAAGTGTGATGTTTCTTACCTGATGACCTTGCTTTCTACCAACACTGTCTTGGCAAATTGTGGCGAATTTGAATGAATTCCTACCATTTGTACGTTTTCGAACTATTTACTCACGTCCCACTGAGGGCTTAGGGATGGGGTTAAAGATGCTACTTCATGCTTGTTTTTTTAAATCATGCAAATGATTTAGAATCAAATCGTACAAATTCATATGAAGTAGCAAACTTGTGAAAAAAAAAAGTTTTCTGATGAGTTTGGGTTGTGTCCAACATTTAGAATAATTAATTTTTCATTGAAACGCATTCAGTGCAAATGTGATGCTGCCTTAGAAGTTGGTCAGAAGGTAGCACAATTATACATCTCTAGAAGCTAGGTTTTGGAATGGAGCCAGAGTCTATGTAAATCTGATTGTCTTCTCGTGCAGGACATGTACAGTGGTTTGATCGGGCCGCTGGTCATCTGCAAGAAGAGCCTGGCGCGAACACTGGGGCTGAAGAAAGAGATCGAGGAGTTTGCTCTGCTCTTCATGGTCTTTGATGAGAATGAATCTTGGTATCTGGATGACAACATCAAAGCTCATGTTAAAAACCCTCCCAAGGCACTGAAGGAGGATGAAGAGTTTATCGAGAGCAACAAGATGCATGGTGAGTTTAATGTCTCTGGGTTGCATAGTTTTGGTCATGGTTTTTGAGGACGAGGACATGCCTCAAATAATTGAAACCTTCTCATAGAATAGTGAGCTAAATGTTAGCACTGTTAAATTTCCTCTTATTTAAACCATTGCCTCAGCATTAAAATGTAAGCAATGTTCCTGTTATTATTATTCACCAAAACATTCTAGTGTAAAATGGCCAAAATGATAAAATGGGCCTGATGTGTTGATGATAAACTAGTGGTTATTCCTTTGTTCATCACAGGAATCAATGGTTTAGTCTACGGCAATCTTAAAGGCCTGAACATGAAGGTTGGAGATAAAGTGTACTGGTATCTGATGGGAATGGGAAACGAGGTGGACATACACACTGCACACTTCCACGGCCACAGCTTTGACTACAAGGTAATTCATCCATCCGTCCATCCAAACACCGCAATGAGAATGAGAATGTTTCAGAGTAGCAGTGCGATGGCAATGGGCTTTTCCCGCAGGTCAGCGGCACACATCGAGCGGACGTGTTTGATCTGTTCCCCGGGACGTTCCAGACAGTCACCATGCGTCCGCTGTATTCTGGCAACTGGCTATTGCACTGCCACGTCACCGACCACATCCAGGCCGGAATGGAGACCACATACACCGTACTCGAGAAAAATGGTAAGGTTATGAGATTAAATGTAGTAATTCAAGAAAGAATAACATGTTTTACTACCCTGTTATGCAAAAAAAGCTTAGACTTCAGCTCTTTAATACACAAAGGGGAGAACGGGGCATGTTGTCACATGGGGTGGTTTGTTTCATTTGGGCATATTTGACCAGACACACAAACTAAATATAAATTTCTTTATTTTTTTTAGGGAGAAAGAGGGGCTTCCTGGGTTTGTTTGGTAGCGGTTGAAATCCCATGTGCCTGTAACAGGAAGTTTGTGTTAATACTTGCTCATGGTTTTTCTAAATAAACACTTGTAGTTCTTTGAATTATTTTGTTTGCAAAAGAGCATTCAAACATTCCTGCCTTGCTTAAAAATATGGTTAAAGTTAACATGACATTTAAAGTTATTTTACTTCTTTAATTTGACAAATTTGATTAGATCAGAATGAATCTCGATTAGATTAGAAAAAATGGCTTCTAAATAGACTATATAGAATATCCAAGTAGTTTCAGAAGGTTATGAAGATTCTGTTTTTGCACAGTAAGATCAGGAAAGATTACATTAAATAGGGTTGATTTAGTAAGAAAACAGTAAAAGGAAGACATTAATTTTGTTACTGTAGCTTTAAAATATAATAACTATACACGGAAAATAATATTTACAAAATGAGCTGCACACAAGATTCTGTATTTGAATATCATTTAATAAAAATAAAAAAAAATAAAAAGGACACTTTATAATGTTCATTCTGAGAAATCAGATCAAATGAGATGACAGCTGCATTATGGGTAATGTGCACACAAATATCTGACAAACATTCAAACAAAAACACTACAAGCCTAACAATAATAATAATAAAAAAAATCAATCAAAATCAAAAGTGTTTAAAAAACACTTGATTTAATAATTGTACATCATTTAATTTTATATATATATTTATATATATCAGAATATATTTTGAAGTCTATATTTGTTCTTATAATAAAGAGAGTGCTTGCTTTTTGAAGTAAACGTATAATAATAATATCCAGACTATATGAATGATTGTAACATACTTCCTATCAGATCATGTTCACAGCGGTCGCACATGCCTAATGAGATGAACAAACTCTTTTTTTTGACTATCAGCATTCAAAGCAGCAGGAAGACTGTTGATCCAGATCTAGTCTTTAAACAGGTTTAGTGTTGATTCTCTGATTGTCTAAAATACATGCTAACAGTCACGAGATTTCACTGGCTGCATTCGAGTAGATGTGGCAGGAAGAAATGAGCCGTTCCATCATCCGGCAGCAAGTCCAGGAACTCCAGCGGGTTCAACTCCTTGGCCGCCACAACCAGAGTTTCTGTGAAAGAAAAGACAGTGTTTTCATGAGCAGCAGATTTCATTCCGTTGTGTTTGGACAGACAGAAGCATAAAACGACTGCTACCTTTGAGTGCTGAGAGGAGGACGGTGTTGTCATTTCCTGCTGTCCTTATCCTGTCACAGACCTCGGGGAAAAGCTTCTGCCACCACAGAGACTGGAGAGAGAGAAGAAACCGAAAACGATTAACATGAAAGAGTGTCAAGTCACCGCTGATTCCAAACCTTTCTAACAATTTCCGTTTATTTTATGACTACTTTGGCCAGTAACATTGAGAACGCAGTGACACACTGATCATGTGTAGCTTGTAGAAGCCTTGTACACTTCAGGCCTCACCACCAGAGCGGTTAAGTGTGTTACCAGTTTGTCGTTCTGTAGCTCGTGGTTGGCGTAGGAGATGATGGCTTGTGGACACCGGTCTAGCAGTCTGTCGATGGATGTCTCGTGCTGGCCCAGTTTGGTGGCACAGAGCACATGCACACTGAGACCGGTGCGGTCAGAGTCAGACAGCTGCTCCAGCAGAGGCAGGATAAACGAGACCTCCAGCGTTGGGCCGCACAGCAGAGACTGCACAGTGAGGAGAGCAGCACACGTACTAAATATACGGCACACCTTCTATTGTGTTCCACATCAGAAAGAGTAAATGAGGACTGATTTGTCATTTTTTGGGTGAACTGTTCTTTTAAGGAATTATCTCCTGAGCAGAGGCTGGGCCGAGCCGCTTTAAACTATACGTCATTCAGCTTTCAGATGATGTATAAATCTCAATTTTGAAAAAATTGACCCTTATGACTGGTTTTGTGCTCCAGGGTCACATATCTTACCAGTTATTATAAAGCCCTTAATATAAAGCATGTCTCATGTTTAGAACAAATTGGATTATGCACTTTCCCACTTTACTTCAGCTGATCTGGCTGCACTTCCTAGAGGTCCTTGACATTCATTTCCATCATTTGCATTACTGTCGCTTGCCAGAAAGAGAGAACTATATCAGCGCACACCTGAAGTTTGTGCAGGTCCTCCTGGTGGTCATGGGTGATGCTGAACTGGACAGGCGTCAGGATGCTCACCCACGGGTACAGCATCCCGTAATGAGAGCAGGAGTTTATCTGGACGTGAAGAGCATTTGATAGATTATAAGCTAAATCAGGTATAACGACTGTCATGTCCCTCATTCCAGTTTAAAATCTGTGTTTTCTTAATTAGCTAATGTCTGCTAAGGCGAGAATACCTATTTCTTGTTCATATTGATTTGAATACCTTGTTTAAACTGGATTTGTACTTAACGGCAGTTTCCTGCACCATTTGTGCAACAGACTTGATCAAATCATGTCTTATTCAGGAGAAACGTACTCAGACTTACAATTTTCACCTGATGGACAATGAGGAAAATAAGCAAAATAAAAGCACTACAATGTAATAAACTACCACTCAGAACTACCTAGTAACGTCCCAGTTACTACTCCAGACCAACTGTGGAAAGAAGTGTGAATGCTTGCAATACTGAGGTTGTATCGAGAGGATCAGTCTTCACATGTAAACACTGATAGCCAATGTTTTAACTACTCATTTTATTACTTATTCATTGTGAAACTAAAAGGCACAGCTAAATGTGACATTTATTATAAGGTTTATGTGGACAGTTTTAGGTTCACTTGTTGTTAGAATATTTTTCATGTTATATAATCTTACAATTTGCACTTGTTAACTTTTAATTATACTGTAATATTAATATTCAATCACTCATTTTATCCCCAGAAAAAAATAAATCAATTTAATTGAGGCATTAGTATTAGTATCAGTGGCCTTCATTCATAGTATTTAGTTACAAGTATTTAAAACACTGACTTCATGTGATTTCCACATCAATTTGGAGATTCAATGTCAAAATATATTTATGATTACAAATTTTAATGTAAGGTGTGATTAAATAATCACAGAGATTAGTTCATCCTGATTAGTTCATTTTAAATAATTAAATAAAATCAACAGCTTTAATAGCAATATGTTGAAAACCACCTATAACACTCTAGAAAGTGCTAAAACATGCTAAAAATGTATGTACACCTACACACACGCACAATATATATATATACAAACCCACATGTATATATCCTGTATATATCCAATCTTTTGGATGCCATGGTTCTCCAAATATAAATATGATTTAGAAAGATATGAGGGTATATATTGTCATATATAAAGACCCAATTTATACTGTGAAAAAATTATATTATAATTGCATATTAGTAAAATATATATATATATATATATATTTTTTTTT